ACACTGTTATGTCCCAGACCCAGGATGAACAGCTGAGGTGCCTATTGACTTATCAAAGATGGACTCAAGCATCCTGGCCCCTACCTGTCACAGGGTCTTCCTGGCTGTCATACCTGGCCCCTACCCTAAACTCCCCAGCCCAGAGCTAAAGGGCTGAGCTACCTTCTCCTAGCTGTTCTTTCCTATATAAACCAGACATTTTGGTTATTCGTCCCTTTGGCCTGTTTTTGGCCTCTTTGCCTCCTGCCCTCTTAGCTCCTAGCTGCTCCAGCCCTCCTCACAGGGCCTAATTCAGTCTTCTGGTCACCTTCACTCTGGACTCTCCCAGATGTCTCTGCATCTACCTGTTTTCTCCTTTATATCTATAATAAAAAACCTCAACCCTTAGGAACACTCATGTCCTCCTATTTTTCTTTTTTTCTTCATTCAAACACAGATTTTTATTCATCATAGTTTGTGTTCTGGGTCCTTAGGATAAAAAGGTCACCATCAACTCAGAGCCTGTCGTATTAGGCTAGCCCTAATATCATGGGGAGGAAGGGCCAGCGGATATGCTAAATCCTGGCTCAGAGAAGCAAGAGGGGTGTGCCCCAGGGACACTTTGACAATCCTCCTCTCCATCTCAATGGGTCAAGGCAAGAGACTTAATTCTCCCTACTGGATGTCATTTTGTTCTTTTCTCTTGGCAGTGACTGTCAGTGCAGGGGATCCTAACCCCAGGACTTTCAGCATGGGAATGCCAATAGACTCTCCTTAACATGCGGCAGTGTTTACTGGGTAAACCTACTCTCAGTTGAAAACAAGGTGAATCAGAAATGCACTCAGCATGTTTAACCTGCTGCTGTCAGTGCAGCTCACTGCACAGCACTGGTTATCTCCTGCTGTGAGCTGGTGACTATCTAGGAACTGGAGTTCTCCTCTGGCGTGCTAGGGGAAGGAACATACTTCAGATCTCAAGCCCAGAAAAAGAACAAAATTCAAAAGCTGAGGTATAACCTTTAGTGAATGCAGATCACTTTTCCATCATATAAAAATTAAATGACCGTCTTTACCTCCATTGGATTGCCTACTGGGGCCATCCACCCACCCAGAAATCATGACCTTGGAAATAATATTGCATTCATGCAGAAGCAGAAATTCTGTTTGGGATTGTTCTGTTCTATTTACCCAGAAAGATGGTTTTAAAAGCAAACCACAATTGATATCCCTACTGTACAATTGAGCTTCAATTTTAAAGGACACAGTAAAACCTTGCATATCCCAACATCAAGAGGAATTTTCCCAGCCCTCCTCCTATTTCTCTTGGAACATCAGCAAACTGAATGGCAAGTGACTTAGAAGATCTCAAGTTATCCTGCAGACATGAAGACATGGGAAGTTGGCTATAAAATTACATTTGGGTATTTTTCTTATTCCCTGTTCAAAAGCTGTCCAAATTTTCTTTATGAAATTGGAAACTGCCTTCCTTTTTCCTGCCCCTGCACTCTGCATGTCTAGAGCTAAAGAGGCTCTCATAATCTCCCCACCCCACCCCACTGCCTAGAGTACTCAGCAGCATTAGAGTCATTCTTCACTGTCTGAACTACTAAAAGAAAAAAAAAAAAAAAAAACAGTCCATAACAACGAGCTTCCTACCACTGCCAAGATAAATCGTAATCAATCACAAAAAACAGGGCATAGCCCAAGGAAGCACCAAGAGTGTAAAAGAAAAGTAAGATGTGCTTGGGTAGATGTAGTGGGCTCAAAGGCATCTAGCAATCAGGTTGTAATAAGAAAGGTGTGTTATGAGTGTGACTGCAGCCCAGGCCAGAGTCCATACAGTATTTCAGTACAAAATGCAATCCATCGCTCCCCTGTGATGTCCTTTGATTTCCCTTCCCTGTTACTCATATCAGGGTGAGAGCTAACAAATGATGTAGTTCTTGAGATCAAATACGACACTCACTACAGAACATCCCAGTTCCTCCCCCTTTACCTTGAACACAGGAAGTGTGGCCCATATGTCAACTCTTGTGTCCCACATCTTCAGCACAATCCACAGCCCTAGAATTCAAAGAGCATGTTAGGTTCTCAGTCGAAAACCACGAAAAGCAAGTCCTGTTTAAAGAGCATGTGACAGGGTCAGGCCTGAATTATCCAAGGATTCCACTGCATAAACTAAGTTTATAAATGTTTAAGGGAGGCTAGCCTTTAGCTTTCCCATAGGACAGAGGGAAGGGAGAAAGGAAAATCAAATAAATTCCAGCTAGATAAGCAGCCTGGGTGAAGGGCGGGAATGGTGGGGGAGGGGCTACGGAGGTCACAAAGCCAGGAAGCAGTAAGGTTCATTAGACCAGAGTATGAAAGGAAATTGTCCACACAGTTAATAAAGAGGTCAAAACAAGAGAGGTTGGTTCCCAGGACCTTGTTCGAGTCAGCATCTGGCAGCGGACTTGTATATGTGACAATGTGAACAAATTAGATAGAAAACACAGTGGGCTGAGATGTCAAAAAAGTTCAGAACAGACGCTGCCTGTCTGAAAAGCCCTGAACTCATGAGAGATGCAACCCAAGGAAGCCTTCAGTGGAATAAGTGGTCAGCTTCTTCGCATTCTTCATAAAAGAATGAAAAGGTCTGTTAGGAAATTCAGTGAGATTAAAGCTCAGTCTGTGTCAGAGCATGAGGTCTTCTCTGCCTATTCTGGGCTTGTGTACATTTGTCTCTCACACCCAGCAGCTAATGCTCAGCCTGTATCAATGGGACAAGATCACGTGCACAGATTCACCAAGGACAGCCCACAATGCCAGCCATGAAAAGGCAGCATTTCCCATAATATACAAAGGAAAAGGATTCACCACAGCAGCTATCCTTCTCTGGGTAGGAAATGAGTGTCCGATGTCACCAATGTTTCCTGTATGCTGAGCTCACCCCACCCCAGCCCCCCGTCCAGCTGCTCTTGTTAACAAGGGCTTATCTCTCAAGGATATAAAGCGATGACACACTAACCATACAGACGAGATCCGTCCCAAGGGGCAGTGGCTTTCTGCCTCTCATATCTTCTAGTGCTTAGGACACATCTAGGACCACTCCATATTAAAAGTCTCATCGGGGCTGACTTCACACTTTCAAGCTAGTGATGCCTTGAGCTAGGAATTCACTAAGTTGCCTTAATGTCACACAGTCATCTTTCTTTTCCTCAGAGCAAGATTTGTTCAGCTTGACTGTACATTTGTTTTCCCGAACCTGTCATAATTTGAGTAGGCCTCCAAGCATGCTGGGTAATGTATCTGAAGCACAGTGCCCTGTCTCTCCTTCCCGTCCATGCCCACTGCAGAAAGGTGAGCTTTGCTTCAGAGTCGTCTGTGGCTTGAAGCAGAATGGGACAAACCCACCTCAAAAACCCACGAGAGAAAGAACAAGGGGTTTTGTTTGGTTTGGGTTTTTTGTTTGGTTTTGTTTTGGTGTTGGGGTTGAGGGTGAGACAGCATTTCTCTGTGTAGCCTTGGCTGTCCTGGAACTCGCTCTATAGATCAGGTGGCTGAATACTAATAAGGTGGGTGCTGGTGACTGAATGGGACCCTCTGTAAGAGCAGCAAGTACTCCTAACCACTGAGCCACCTCTCCAGGACCCATTACCTGCTCAAAAACAAAACTAAACAAAAAACAATGATGCAAAGTTTTAAGGCTATCTGTTTGTTTCATATCTGTTTGTTTTCTTTTTATTTTAATTTAATTTATCTTTGTTATTGTTGTTGTTTTGAGGTAAAATTAAGGAAGACCAGGTAGCTGAATATTTTGGCTGTTTGGATTCTATGAAGACAGGTGTTAGTATTCAGGTATCTGTACTGACCTGTCCTTGAGGTTCTGACAGGATACGTCCTCAGCTACAGCCACTAAGAGCACCACCTGTGCACAATCACTATGTTCCCTTTTAAAAGGGCCCTGCCCATCTCCATCCTTCTCTCTCTCTCTCTCTCTCTCTCTCTCTCTCTCTCTCTCTCTCTGTTTGTGTGTATGTGTCTCCTTTTCTGCCTGTCTCTCTGTTTCTCCTTCTCTCTCCCTCCCTCCCTCCCTCCCTCTCTTCCTCTTTCTTTCTGCTTCTCTGTCTCTCTCTGCCTCTCTCTTCTCTTCTGCTGCTCCTGTCCCCAGAGACATGTCTCCCCTCTCCATTCCCCCCTTTTCCCATTCACTTCCCTGGATAAAAATCCTACACCCAAGCTCTGTCGAGTGGTGTCTTTCTCTCAAGCGCAGCTTTTTAAAATTACAACACATCATGGCTCATAATCATCTGTAATTGCAGTTCCAAGAGATCCGACACCGTCCTCTGACTTCACACACCAGGCATGCATGTGGTGCACAAATACACATAAAATAAAATAAAACTTAAATCTAAAAACTAATTTACAGTAGGCCATAGGGCCTGCATATGAAGGGTCGCCTACCTCTTCCACACTATGACAATCATGGCATGTGGGTTTGTTCACTGTTACACCAGGCTCTTCACAGCAAGGCCCATCAAAGAAAGAACCAGTTTTTAATGATAAATGTACTAAATCTTGTTGGGAAAAGAATAAACTGGAGATTCATGTAACTCAGTTAAACTTACATTTTCTTTCTCTGCTTTTATTTGAAAGGAGATGACTTTTTACTAATGCATCCTCTAAGAACTTCATACTATACAACACATAGCAAACTATAAAATTGCCCCAAGTCATAAATAATGGCTGACCTTTGCCAATGAAGAGAAATAGTTACATTTCACTAAATTTAACCCTTCCCCCCCAAAAAAAACCACACTTTCAGTATTTAAGACTTAGCAGATATATTTTAAATGCAGTAAGTTTTACTCTCTAAAACTGGACTTCATTTTTAGAGTTAAAAATTCTTCAAAAGAAATGTCCATATGCTCTTCTGTAGTGTCAAACTCTCTACACTTTGACTGTCCCATGCCATTCCAGACAAACCTGTCATAGGTGCACTTATTTCATTGTCATTGTCCTCCCGAAACAAAGTTTAAAATAAAACTGTGGGATACTCCATGGATTTCCATGTCATCCTTATACGGGAGCCACACTAACCTTCTTTGAATTGTCCCAGTGTTAGTACATGTGCTGCCAAAGAAAGTACAGTAACATTATCTTAGCCTGGACAGTGTGTGTGTGTGTGTGTGTGTGTGTGTGTGTGTGTGTGTGTGTGTGTGTGTGTATGTGTGTGTGTTACATACATATTATACTTTTCACTTATTGTATACTCTATAAGTGAGAAAAGTAGTCCAATTCAGTAATAAAAACATACAAATAGAATGGTCTTAACAAGTGTGTAAATTCAACAGAGAAATCCAAAGTTCAACAGCTGTTCCACGAGGGAAACCAACCACAGTGGTGCATCTTCCATTTATATTCAGTGTTCTGAACAAAAAAATCACTATGAAGACAGTGTGTAGATTAACTAGGGCTGTAGGGGAGCATGAGGAAATGGAAGTGACTTAATAAATGAAGGATTTGCTTTTCAGGTGATAAAATTATCTTTATTTCTTTCTTTGAAGTGCTTGGGTTTGAACCGAGGGCCTCACTGAGTGCTGTACCAATGAGCCATACCCCAGACTTCAGAGAAGAAAAATATCCTAAACTAAAGAATATGGTGATGTTTGTGTTTCGGTGACTACAATAAAAATGATAGGCCTGTATTTTTTGGATGGGTAACTATGATGCATGTGAATGACATGAACTTTTAAAAACAGCCTTCAAGGGCCGGAGAGATGGCACAGTGGTTGAGAGCACCAGCTGCTCTTCCATAAGATCAGGGTTCAACTCTCAGCACCCACATGGCAGCTCACAACTAACTGTCTGTAGTTCCAGTTCCAGGAGATCCAACACCCCACACAGACGTGCATGCCAGCAAAACACTAATACACATAAAATAAAGGTGAATAAATCATGTAAATAAAACAGCCTTTAGAGGGACTATGCTCAGCTCCCCAACACACACGAGTATTTGTTACTTTTCTTACTGTGATCAAATCCCTGACAAGAAGCAGTTTAAGGGCCAAGGGTTAGTACAGCTTGCAGTCTGAGAGGATACAATCCCGTTGTGTTGAGGAAGCCATGGGAGCATTGTGTTCCCTCAGCAGTCAGGGACAAAAGAGAACAGAAAGTCACCCACCTGTCTGTGGTCTGACTCCCTGGTGCCTTCAGTTTTGACTTGACAAAATTGCATGAAAGCACTTACCTTTTTCTCGCCACTGACAAATGGCAAAGTTTTCACACACTGAAATCAATGTTCTTAAGTGAAAAATATAAGAATCAGTTTGTCCATCATTTTGTTACTCTTCTCAAACACTTAATAATTAAGGGACAGGCCCCAACATTCCTGTTAATTGCCTAAAGAAGGTTCTATTTTTCCTTAGAGTTTGCAGTGTTGACAAACTGCCAACACTCTCAGAAAAATTCTTTTAAGCAGTTAGGTGAAAATTGTCAAGGAGTTTAAGTAGGTCACTCATTCAAAATGAAATTTAAATTTCTTCATAGCAATTTTGGTTTCATACAATTTTATATTTAAAAATAATTCCACACAACTCTCTCACCTTACATGAAACAAGACTAAGAACCAATGAACAGGAGAGACTTGTTCAAGTTCCTGTAGCTAATATGTGTACCACTAGGGTTGGAAGAACTCAGGTCCTCGGCCTCCTGAAGCACAGCCACTATTGTCTCCAGGACTGGGGGGAGGGGGTGACGGACTTGGCAGAATGAGAGGATCGGATAACATCTCTAGTCAGAATACTGACAAGAGCTAACCTACTCCCTGCACTGAAAATGCAGACTTCCTGGCAGTTAAAAAAGCCGGGAAACTGGCCCTCCCAACCCACAGCTGCTTCATAAGGCTTGGAAACTAAAACCCAAAGCTTTCTGTGTCAGGACCAACGAGGCCAAAATGAACAGTGAGTCACACCAGTGTTAAATAGTTGCAATTATATCTCTTAGTATTGCTCTCTCATATCAAAATAATAAGAGCAATTACAGGCATTTACATTTTACATATAAGGGTATATTTATCCTTGCAGGTCATGTAATATAAAGGAAACAGCGAATTCCAATGAAGAAATTCTACTGCTGCACTGCACTGGTCCTGCTTCCTGCTTTCCCTTGGGTCTGCTAGGAAAGTCAAGCAGACCTCCTGTCAGCAGACACTGTTAAACCTTTTTGCTACGAGCTATTTCTGGCATTGCTAATGTGTGTTCCCACAGAATACTTTCCTGGGGCAGAGGGCAGCCGATGGAGTCCCGCAGGCTCTAGGAAGACAGTGAACATCTTAGTCTGAATAAGGAAGATTGAGGTTGCTCTTTAGGCATTGGCCTATCAGTTAATGTTCTCTGTGGAAGAATTTCTCAAATTCTCTCAGAAGAGAACCTTTAAGGGAGATTCATAAAGACAAGTGGTGTTGTAGCAGGTGGTGGCATTTTTCAGTGAGAAGTACAAAGCCCACTTTCCCCAGTCACTCTTAGATGCGTGACTACGTTACTGAACATGACTACAAAATAAGACAGGCTACGGGACACCATAGCTTGTTGTGAGCATTCAATGACGTAAATATGTGATTGTTCCTAGCCTGTCACATGCATAGACTGCATCTTCCTGAAATAGTTTCCTTCTCCTTCCTTACCTTCCTCCCTATCTTTCTAAAAAAAGTGTGTGTGTGTGTGTGTGTGTGTGTGTGTGTGTGTGTGTATGGTCACGCATGAGAGAGAGAGAGAGAGAGAGAGAGGATCGAGAGAGAACCACAGCATACATGTGGAGGTCAGAGGACAACGGGGCTCAAACTCAGGACACCAGGCTTGAGCAGCAAGCACATTTACCCACTGAGCCATCTTACAGCCTCAACCCTTTTCTTTTTCTTAAGAAAATCAACTCAAAGGCCGGGCGTTGGTGGCGCATGCCTTTAATCCCAGCACTCACATAGGTCTAAACTGTGATTCCCACGGAGGTGAGGAAACTCCGATCTGTCTACCAGGAAGTTCAGTGGCCCAGTGGTCTGGTCTTGTTTCAGTCTGTGGCCCAGAAGTGTCGGTATCACCCAGACCTTCTAGCCGTGGAGCTCTTGAGGTAGGGGCTCTGTGGCTCCAGCAGCTCTTCCAGGTAATTCTTTTGCACCTTCAAGTCTGAGGAGCACAGCATAAGAGAACATACTATCTATCACCAGGTCTGCAAGGCATTGGCCCAGACAGCAGTGTGATTCCCAAGGGCTCAAGTCAAAGATACCTTAAGAGAATGTGGGATGGTAAAAACCTCTGGGAGGATCTTCAGAAACCACATAGGCATTATAAATGTCACAAACATCTTCATTCATTTAGTCAACATGAATGCACATGCTCCTCATTCATCTTCTAATGAGAGATGAGCCAGGGAATTTATTAGAAATGGGCTGGGCCAACTGATTCCCCAGACAGGAAGGGATCGGCAGTAAAACCCTTAAAACCCGAGTTCTAGGCTCTAGTAACAGCAAGAGAAAAGGGAGATGGGAAGACAGCATGTTACCAGTCCTGGGAAGAAAGGATCCCAGGACAGAAGCAAGCAGGCCAAATCCTGGGGCTTTAGAAAAGAGAAGGAAAATATAAGCACTAGACACAGAACTGAGACATGCTCCATCAGGCTCCTACTGGCAGGAAGCCCGGCGGGGAGTCTCCCTCTCACGAACTAACATCTGCCTTTCTTCACATCTCTGCAACATACTAGATGACCTGCTAGAGAGCAGTTTCAGCATCACAAAGATCAGGACACAGGATGCTTACAAAATTCAGTCACATATGTAAACACTGACCAAGCTACTTCCTTGAGGTCAGCAGACCAGTTTCATTTTATTGGCAAACTATGTTGATTTAGTGAGCCGATGTATTTTATTAAGACTACATGAACTAAATATATGTAAGTGTGTATACTATTAAGAATATGTGAGAAATGTATATATAACTTGAAACAAGTAGGAAATGTGTTATATTATGTGTATTCAATAGAGTTTGTCCCACACATGCCTCTAAAACTGCAAGGTTTTCAGTCAAGATCTAATGGAATGCCTGGTAGAGGATTTAACCTGCTACTGATCTAACAGGGTTCTGCCTGAGGTTTGGGCTGTTCGAATTCATTTCCACCTAGAACCCTTCTCTAAAACCTAGATCTGATATGGACTTTAATCTATAAAAATATACAGGGGACCGAACTAGGCTTCCCCTATGTGGGAGACAGTTGTGAAGCTTGGACTATCTGAGGGACCCCTGGCAGTAGGACCACCATACAAGCCTGATACATGAGCTAGCTTGTTGGAGCCCATTCCCTATGGGAAAGGGGCTTGGCCCAACCAGACTCTGTTGACTCCTCATGGGAGCCCTCACTCATGAGGAGGAGTGGACTGGGGATGAGCTGTGGGGGATTCAGGGAGCAGGAGGAGGAGTGGGAGGGAGAACTGTTGTTGGAATGTACAATGAAATTTAAAAGAATAAATAAATTATAAAAAAATCTAAGTACTCTTTTTTTCTAGGCCCTCTATACCAGTCACCTTTATATATATGACTGTGATACAAACACCATGACCAAAGGCAACTTAAGGACGAGGTTTCTTTGGTTTGTTGTTGGGGAGGGATAAGGGCCCATGGGTGGAGCAGAGGGAAGCACAGCAGCAAGCCACAGGCATGGCCGCAGGAGCATGGAGCTGAGAGCTCACAGCTTCAATCACAGACACAGAACAAAGAACAAAGTGAACGTGGGGGAGGCTTTTCTCTCTCAAAGCTCACCCCAGTAATAACTTTCTTTCTAGCTCACACCTCTAAACCTCCTCAAACAGTACCACAGCCGGTGATCAAGTACACAAACACTGAAGCCTAAGGAGGACACTCTCTGTAAAGCAACCATACCTACAGCTGTAAGTTGTTACATCTCCTTTGCCTACATCTTATTCTTTTGTTTGCATTCCTTTCTGTGTTTTATTGTGTACCTACTATACATCCATCTTAATGTGATCCAAACTCTTCTTCTAGGAGACCATCGATGTACTTCCTGGAACAAGGCTCTATACCTACTTCCCACATATTCTGACTTGATAGGAATTGAAAGCTCAAACCCGGTGGTGGAGGCATA